TATTTCGGGTACTAGCTTTCTATAGCTTAGTCCTATAATAGATAAATTTATCCTATAATATAAGGGGATCGTAATCTTTATTAGAATTATTAATAATATAGATCTATATTAAGATATAGAGTTAAAGTTATTCTAATAGGGGTTCTTCCTCCTAGCTTATTTATATATATTCGTCCTATTCCTCGTTACTTATAAGTCTAATATAGAATATAGCTTATAATTCTAGATAAGCTTATTTATAAGCCCTTTCTTCGTCTATATCGATTTCCTAGGTCTCTAGTATTATTTATTAAGCTTATTTCTAAATTTATCTTTCCTTCTTAATAATAATTATTATAGCTAAGGTTCTTTATCCTATAAATACCCTAAAGAATTATCTATTCTATTCCTTATTATCCTTATAAATTAAGTAATTATCTTAATAATAGAAGGTTTAATTAATTTTAATATAATCCTAATATTAAGTATAATTAAGCTATTATTTATTTATAAATTTCTAAGGCTTCTTAGGTTATTAGTATTCTCGAGCTATATACCTATTTTTACTATAATTATAGTATTTTATATCTTTAAGATCCTTTAATTTATTATATCTAATATTATTAAGCTCTATAGGTCCTATATAAATAATCTATCCTTAAACTATATTAATATAGGGTTTATCGTATTAATATTTATATCTTTAATTAAATTAATAATAAAGAATATAAAGGTTTTATAATCTTATAATAAACTTTTATCCCTTTTTTATTCTATATTTATATTAATAATTATTAATTTTAATAATTATAGTAATATATTTAGTAAAAGTTTTAGGTCTATCCTCTTAAATAAGGTCGTCTTTAATAGCGTTTTTAAGTCCTTTATAGAAATAAGCTATAAGAGCGGATTCTATTTAATCGAATCGATTAACTAAGAATCGAAACTCTATAATATATTTAATAACTAATTTAATCTATTTAAGATAAAGGATTTTTCTTTCGTTTTATCGTTCTTTATTTATATCCTTAAATACTCCTTTAATAGCTTCTTCGAATATATTTATATTTATATAGATATCCTAAATAGCCTATTTTATATCTTCTTTCTTAATATAAATAGAATAATCCTTAATAAAGGGTTCGAATTAATATAAAACGTCCCTTTTAAAGTAAAAGGAGGCGTTAGCGACCTTCTTACCTTAATACTTAAATTAGCCTTTATTAGCTTTATAGTATTAGTATACTTAAGTAATAAAAGACTAAAGTACTTTAAGGTTCCCGTCGAATAATTAAAGGGGAAGAGCCTTTATACTCGTTCCGCTTTAAAGTTATTATATTAAGGCTTAGAGCTATTCGTTTTCCGAATAGAGCTACTAGATTATAATAGTTAAATTATTAATACTATTTCCGATATTATTAATAGATATTATTCCTATAATAAGTATTATTTAGTATTATAAAGTAAACCTATTAAATAAAAATAATTAAAATATTACGATTTAATAGCTTCTAAAAGGGGAATATTATTAAAAGGTTAAAGTTATTATTTATAGAAGCTTAGGTTATAACTCTAAGATAATATAATATTATAAAGTATTATATATTTATTATAATAAATATAAAATAAGACTTAGATTAATTATTATTATAAAAAAGAATATATCTATAAGTACTAAATACTTATCCTTATATACCTATTATTCTATCCTTATTATCTTAGGTTAGTAAGTCTATATTAGATAGCTTACCTTTCTTATCGTAATCCTATTACTTAGGTTATAGTATAGTTAGTAATTGGATTACTTTAAGAATTATGATCTAGTCACGGTTATATAAGTGATCCTATAGGTCCGTATAGCGCGTCCGATCGCCTGCGGGGTGTCCTGCCTAGTGTCCTAGTGATGACCGGGCTAGGGCGTTATAATTATATATAATCGTAAACCTTATATCTAGCGTAAGTAGAAGCTCGTTCCCTATATTATAGGCGATACCTTCTATAGCTCTAATAATAACCTATAGAAGGGTAGAGATATTATAGAGAAGAGAGGTAAATCTAGTTAAGAATATATCTAATAAAAAGTTAGCTTATTAGACTTATATTAATAGAATATTATAAGGAGATATATATTAAGCCCTAATATTAGAGGGTCTAAGTAAATTATAAAGAACTTTAGGATATTGCCTTTAAAGATAATAACTTTTATCTCTTTATTAATCTAAAGCCTTTATATTAGATCTATTAATATAGATTATATCTCCGCGCCCTATAGATTAATCTCTGAATTTAGGTTATATAGAGTAACTTCTAGAATACTAGCCTTTTAGGAGGTTTTAAGGCTAAGTATTATGGAAGGTCTAGGGCTAAGGCTATTCCGGTAAGGATTAATAGAATCGAGATAAGTATTATAGAAGGGCGTATATTAAAGCGATTAATAATATAGGGATAGAGATAGGGAAATAGCGAGCTAGAATCTTATATAGAGCTAGAAATATCTCGATCGAGTGATACGTCCTAAGCGGACCTTTTATACCCTATATAAGACGGAGCCATAGCTATATTATCCAGTGCTAGCCCGTTAAACTACTCAATGCAGCTCTAGTCGAAAGAACATGATTCACTTAACAAGTTCTGAGGCATCGTGGGTCACGAGATGGCCGGCGACCCCGGCATTTAAATGGTGATATTGCAACGTTCCATATGCCCACCACTCTCGTCCGGCCCTACCCTTAATAACATTAACATATCTCGGTTATAGAGTTCCTATCAATAGACGTAGCCGATGAACAAAAAGGACAATCCAGCTTCAAGTTTTCATTCAGTAGTAGCGGTCTGGGCGGTTTTGAAGCTTAGAGCTAGTATTCTAGTCTCCTATTTCTCTGCTTGTCTCCTGGCCTGTCATCCATACATCGATGATCCCTGGACACAAAGCTACTTTGGGGTAAACCATTGGCTGGTTGCAATAGTAAGCACCGTCTCTCCTGGTAATAACGGCTCCGCTTATTAATCAAAGAGTGCCCTATAGATTGTTAGGCTCGAACCACTGGAGCGGAGGTTGCGTTGATGATGCTTCATCATGAATCCTGAGATGACGGACTGACCAATGAGGAGAGATCAAACCGGCCGCACTACGCAAATAAAAAATGACGAATCAAGCCTTGGTCTTATACAACTGCCATTGCAGCTCAAGATTTAGAAAAGCATCAGTAACAACCCGGCTCATCATTACGCTGCATCGGTAGCAAAAGGTTCAGACCATTGAGTCTGTCTAGGTTGGATCGGGAGTCGTCAATTTTCCTGTCTCTTTACCGATTCGTCATGCCTCGTACCGCGGAGAGTCAGAGTGTGGGGATGGTGGTGTTATTCGGATCGTGCAGATTCAACGTATGCGTGGATGCTCAACCAACAGAGTGAAGACTGGGCGCGCTTGAATAAGAGGCAAATCTCCATCATCTGGCGAAGTGGCATGCTATCGTAAGTCTAGGTCGCCAAGACTATGAAATAAGACCTTGGCTGCCTACCCCGTATATATGGCAGGACTTATTGGATGCGCAAGTTTAAAACAGAGGTACCTATCAGGCTAAGCTGGATATTAATCCCTGTGCTCAAGCAGTTTCTCCGTGGACCCAAATTCTCTAGGTCTGTTGTAACTTTAGACGTCACCCCCGGACGGCTGGAGTGGCAAGCCCCGGATTTCGGGTCATCGGATTTGCTACACTTTCACAACTAGGTTTGTGTTCGGGTCCGTCGTATTACGGGAACCGATACGTGAGACCCTATCGCATTCAAATCCGGAAACAACACCCTGGAATTGATCGATTCCCCCACGTCTCGCCATTTTCGGCTTCCCCTCGTCCTTTTCGGGCCCTTCTTCGTCGACAGTAGGCATCCCTGCCAAGAAAGTGCGGTCCTACATCGCAGCGAATTGGATAACTACGTTATACGAGCCAGTAACCGGAGAGATTGGTATTACCTCGGACCTGATGAACGTCGCACCCCTAGGTCGCATTGGCCATGTTACGTCGAGGGCTGCAATCAGGCTCTGCAGCATTATTAACCCTGACTGGCCGGACCGCTTTTTGTTTGCGAAGGTTCCCCCACGATCCCCAACAACTCAAAACGGCCCAAGATAATGTCTGTGTTAACTGTTGGAGAGCTTTGGGCAGTCTATTTCATTGGTGGATACAAATTTGTATGGCAACGCGGAATAATAGGTGTAATATTGTAGCTTTGCCGTCCTCGTAATCTCATTAATTTGGTACATATTACAGAATAATCGTACAATAGCACTTTAGCCCAATCAATCATGTAGATGCCGATCGCATCATTGCAAGAATCGTGAGACAACTAGATTCAATAACGATGCCTGAGTCCACTTACCTTCGCTCTTTCTATATAAGGCTCCTATTATATATTATAAATCGTTCAGCATCCAGGCTCGATCCAGCATCAATCATCCCTGTCCGTCATGTTATGCCACTACCTCGTCGCCCTGGCTGTCTAATAGGTAGGACAACGTAGAATCCCGCGGACGTAGCGGATTTCCAACATCAGCTGTTGCAAAGGAAGACAACCAAATCCGAATGTTAGGTACACGGGACTCGTGAAGGTACCGAAAAAAAGCCCCGCCAGCTCCTCCGTGGCTGCTAGCACTGGCTTTAGAAGAATTACTGATTCCTAACCCTCAGTTCGGGGGAGATTTGCTCTTGCCGTCTTTCAATGCCCCCACTAGCTCTGTAATTGATGTAGGCGAGGTAAAAGTGGGAATGGAACCCAACAGGGGCAGATTATCGAGCTCCTAACGTAAGCCTTAGTTTAAATCTATTTCCTGGGGCCTCTGTAATTTAAGACCTCCGCCATGAGCGACCAAAAAAAGGGGTTTCAGATGAGGCTTCAGGCTAGTCCATTGCAAGTAGGGGAACAGGGGACAATGTATTCCGAATGGAGCTAGTATCAATGTACAATATGACATTGCTGGCTTTAGGGCTTGGTCGGGTCTGCATACAGACGCCCAATGACATTGCCCTGTGCGAGTCTGTCAATCCCTTCTTTAATTCCGCTGAAAGGGATCTCCTCGAGCAGCGGCTCGAACTCCTTGTCTGCGATCATTTGCAGACACTTCTCGACCTCCTGGATGGACGAACCGGCTGAGCCTTTGAGCGAGACACCCAGCGCGACGAACTCGTGAGTGTTCAGTGTGACCTCCTTTGAAGAGAGGCCGACGAGAACGACCTTGCCACCGGATTTAACTGCCTTCGCAGCCGCAGCAGTTGTGGAACCCGCGCCCACGCAGTCCACAACCGCGTCGAATCGTACTCCGGGAAAGCCGTCGAAGCTCTTGGCGGATGCGAGAACTCCTGCCTGAGCACCTGGCAGATACTTGCTGGTGTCCCGCTCAATTGCGTACACTGTTGCCCCCTGTCGGGATGCAATCTGAGCAGCTGAGAGGCCCACACCTCCCAGCCCGACGATGGCAACTTTCGAGGACGCGGTGACTTCTGCTTCGACAACGACGGCATGATACGCCGTGGCAATGGCGTCGGTAGAAACAGCAGCTTGAGCCAAGGTGACCTCCTTGGGCACGTGTAGCGCTTTCGATTCGAACAGCGCAGTGTACTGCGCGAATCCACCGTCGTAGCCAATTCCGGCACTGGTGGTGATGTCGCTGAAGGTGATGGGGTGCTCGGTGCCGATGATGGAGACAACCCGATCTCCAGCCTTGAACTTGGTAACATCCGAGCCAACGCTGACGACTATGCCGGCAATTTCGTGACCCAAGATGATGGGCCGCTTCCAGAAGAAAGTGTCATCCTTGCCAGAAATTATGTTGTGGTCAGTGTGGCAGAGGCCGGTCGCCCTGACCTCGATGAGAATCTGGCTCTTCTGGGGAACCGGGACCGGGACCTCCGTATACTCCAGTCCTGTAGAGGGGGAGGTAAACCGGTACGCTTTCATAGTGGGCGCCATTTTTGTAAGTGGCGGGTTGCTCTGGGGCGAGTTCCTGCTCTCCGGCGAAGTTTCTATGAGAGAAAATTAGGCAGAAGTTGTGGATGGCACAGAATATCTTTCTTGTGGAGGGGGCGTTATCATCGAGGGATTATCTCCACTTCGGCGAGGGGCATCACTCTACAGTTTTAAGTCCGGGCTCAGGGAATGCGTCCGGACTAACGTGTCTTGAGCCGGCCAGAGGGAGGTTTAGTCACGCACTAGATTGCACCAACGGCACACGGAAGACTCGGAAGTAACGTTGTTGTGAGTAGGTTCTGAGACGATTAGTTATTAGTCAAGGTCATTCTGGCACGGCGTGTTTCAACTGGAAGGTTTATGGCTCATGCTTTCCCCGGATTATGGGGGATTCGGGATGCGGGGATGCGGGGAAGTGGGGACCTGGGTCCGCAGATGACTGATGAGAAACTCCAGGCCGAGGGACGGAGGGTCCGCAGATGACTGATGAGAAACTCCAGGCCGAGGGACGGAGTGTCTCGGAACGGAGACGGAGACAACTAAGAGGCGGAAGAGGCAAAATACATTTGTCCGACAGAATCATCTATCCAGAACGGGTTTAGTGATTAGTGTTGGTAAACGGGAGGTTCTCGGCATTGTTGGACTGGCTCTTCTGATAGAAGTATTAGAGCGACTCCAGCGCCGAGCTCCTCCATACATGTCGCTTTCCTTTAACACCTGCTCCTCAGTAAAACGACCGGGGCTCGTTTGAATACTCTTTGAAATACTCTTCCTACTTCTCCACCCAAATCAAACTCCTCAGGAAGCAAATCAAGCCGAGGATTAGCGCAATGGCGACCCTGCAGACGGTTCAAACCCAGTTCATCTTGGTTGATGGCTTGAAGATTGCGTACCGGCGGCTTGGAAAGCCGAGCACCTATCCGTTGCTGTACATCAACCATCTACGGGGGTCGATGGACACGCTTGATCCAACCCTGTTCAACGCCATCGCCAAGAGCCGGGAGGTCATCCTCTTTGATAGTTTCGGCATCGGCCATAGCGAGGGCACTGTGCCCGACTCTACCTACGCAATGGCCTCAATAGCTGCCAAGTTCTTGGCGGTCATCCAGGTTCCTGTGGTTGATGTCATTGGTTTCTCAATGGGCGGCGGTGTGGCCCAGATCCTCGCCTGGGACTACCCCGAGCTGGTCCACAAGCTGGTCTTGGCCGGTACACAGTCTGCCATCGGAGAGAACGTGGTTCTGCCCCCCCGCGACGTGCTCGAGAGCGCAGGTGCGAACAACGAGGAACCTCCCACCATGGACGACATGCTCTTCCTGTTCTTTTATCCTTCCGAGTCAAGCCTGGCCCTCGGCAATGCTTGGTGGAAGCGAATTCAAGAGCGAAAGGTGGCCGGAGAAGAGCGCCGGGGCTATCTCGTCGGACAGGGAGCGCAGTCCCAACTGACGGCCATCTTCTCCTTCACTGTCGACCCCGCCAACTTTGACCGCCTTAAGGACATCAAGGTTCCCACCTTGGTCACAAACGGCCACCGGGACGTCATGTCGCCCACCCCGAACAGCTTCGTTCTACAGCAGAACATCAAGAACGCACAGCTTATTATCTACCCAGACGCGGGGCACGGTCATCTCTTCCAAGTACCAGAGCTCTACGCACAGCATCTCGAGCTATTTTTGTCCGACCCTCAAGGGCCTTGAGGGGTTCGAAGGGAACGCATACGAGACGAAAGTAGTGAATGTGTTAGTTTCCTAGATATGCAAGTTGATATTTAGGTAATATTATGTATTTGAGTCTGTTTGACGTTGTGCAGAAACTTTCTAAATCTTCCGAAAAATCTATGTTCCATTTGTGCTGACGTGAAGTCCCATATCGATATCACCCAGGAGGCAGATAATATTGGAGATCAGGAGACGTTAATGCATATAAGAATTCATCTTTGGACCCAGCACTTAGGTGTCCCCTAGGAACAAGCAACCTGCGTCTACCACGGGTTCACAGCGCCGTCGCAGTTCTGAAAAGTTCCGTTGGTGTCCCAGTTAGCAGCGTCGACAATCCCCGTGATGCCGGCGACGCTGGTATCCAATGATAGCATCTATATTCTTTTAAAGATACGCCTCTCCCTGCGACAGCCTTAGACGTGAGGTCGGTCTCTATAAGAACGGGGTGGACAATAAAACTCATGAGCTACGGTTCCGCGAAGTGAAGTCGTTGGATACTAGTTGAGAGACGACCTGCTACCGCTATAAGGGCTAGACGTAGAGTGTGAAGCCGAGTGTAATAAGCTAGCCGATAAAACCAGTAGAGCTGATCAGGGTCAGAATAGCGCTGAACTTTAGATTACTGGTTTTGCTCGCCTTTAGAAGGTCGGTAGTAGCCTAGAAGAGCAGAACGGGGGTAATTATATTAACGTTAAATGCTCCTAGAGACTAGCGGCGGACGTCTTCTGGACGGAGGTACTATTCTAACCAATGCCGTTATTGGCGATGACGAAGTCGAGCGCGTCTATACCGTTGTCTTTCAAATAGTAGCTACCGCGTCCGTAGCGTCGCTGAGGATAGAAGAATCTACCTTTACCGTGATAAGCCTAGAGCTTGCGTCCTTAGGCAGCCTGGTAAGGGTATGGCTGGTCTTGTGGGATTGGTTTCTGACCGCTGCGATAACCGTGGTAGATGGCCAGGATAGTAATGTTCGGACTAAGCCATCGCTAGTTAATACCGCAGTTGGTGCCTGTGACGAAGTACGTATTATAACTATATATTTTTAAGATTTCAGTATCTTCCATAGTTAGTTATATATAGCTAGGATAAATATACTACGGTAGTTCAGGTCTGTAGGTTATAGAGAACGTCTCTAGGTAGTATATACCCATAACCTGTTATAGCCCTTGTTAAAGGTAGGGAAGCTGATGCCTATAAGATAAATAAGTAGTAAGAAAGGGAGATAGATGAAGTGGGTAGAATAAGTAGGTCTGTATTACTTGTATGTATATAGGTTGTTCTTCTGTATCTATATAGAGGTCGGGGGATTCTGTATATATTGAAGGCTTCTTCCGTACGTCCGAATATCCTTTGTCCGTTCCGAAGGCCCTAGCCTGAGTCGCGAGACCGATGCAAAGGAAACGCCTGGCACAACAATCCATTTTCCAGCCCAGAAGCACCGCATGGCCACAATTCTTTGTTGTCTAACCCCTCCGGTGCCACGCAGACAAGCTGTGCCTATCTAAATGTCGATCTGCCCGCCAAACGTTTTACTTGAGGTGATGCCTTGTGGGGCAAGATAGCTAGAAGGAATCAGTGCAGCCCTGCTCGCAAGGACTACCGCATCAACGGACACGACTCAACATCGTCTGATGTCCGCCTTGGCCTCCAAACTCGAGCGCAGCGCTCTTAATAGTCCGGACGATTAAGACGACTATTAGTCCAAACTATACTCGAGTGGCAGCGCACTACGATGGCGACCTCGAAGTTGCTGCAGTTGAGGGGCACGTGGCCATGGTGTCGGATCGAGAGTGTCGGAAAAGAGTCTTGTCGTAGGTAGTTCGACGCCGTTTTGATGCGATGTATGGTAGATGACAGTTGGCAGAGTTTCGTCTGCACGTCGGCAAGGCTGTCAGCCCAGCGCTGCCGTCAAGTCAATCAAGTCAAGTTGCACCCTTCAACTTGACTTGCTTGCTTCCTCATGAGCCCCAACTTGCTTGAACTTGACTTGTTTGATTCAACTTGACTACTTGGCTTAGCTCGGCTGGAGTATTACTCAAGGTCACCGAAGTCCCCGGCAAATTCCTTGGTGATTGGATCTGCGAGGAGGTTGCCCAATCGTATGCCACGTGTCCGGCTCCAATTCTTAAGGCATTGTAGGAACTCAAGGGTCTCCGGATGCATTGACTGACGCTGTGAGGTCATTGCAAGCTTCGAGAGACTGAAAACCCTCTCGCAGTCAGCGGCCATCGCGGGGATCGCTAAGATATCTATGGCAAGCTGTGACAGCGCTGCGTATTCGCTCTTGTGCTTACACCACCACCCAATAGGGTCATCCGTGGCTTCAACCTTGGCTTTGTAATATGTGTCAAGCTCTCCGAGCAAGGTATCAGGCTGCTCCTGCTGCTCCAGCATCCGGCGCCTTCGAGCATCCAGCCAGCCTTTCCAACGACTCTTCTCGCTCTTCGGTCCTCGCGGGGCAGATGGCTTCGGTTGCTGAGCCAGTTTGGCATGATCAGAGGTATACCAACGCTCCAAGTGAACCCTAAGGTCCCTCTTAGCATCGTGAATCCACTGGAGTTGGAAATCTGCAGCCCACACATCTTCCAGATACGTCAGGGAGTACTCGGGATGTAGGATAACGGAAGCTGCAAATAAGGGTGAATCGGCAAGCTTGGTGTAGTAGGCATTAAGCTTCGCCCAGGCACATTGGATTGATGCAGAGATATAGAGTCGCTCGTCGGCAGCCATGCCCTCCCTTTCGCTGACTTCGCGGGCCCAAGGCCTGGTATATTCGTCTTGTACAGAAGCAGGCAGATTGCGAAGTGCATCTTCGTTAAACGGTGATTGCTGAGACTGTTGAGGGCGGCTGCTAGTGCGATTGACCTCGTAACCTTCAAGCCGAGCAGGTAACTTGCGAGACCGGACTGGGCGACCTCCGCGCCTGTTTGCAGACGATGATGGATTCAGAATAGAATCGTCGACAGGCTGCTCTAAGTGCCCTTGCGCCTGTGAACTGGCTATAGTTTCAATCGTAATTAGGTCATAGTGCTGCTTCCAGTCTTCGAGGTGCTCAAGAAGGTATTCCATCCCTGTCAGGACCTGCCAAAGCTTGCCGAGTGTACCGCCCTTGCCATTTCCTTGTGTCTGCATCGTCAATTCGTAGAGGGGTTCGAGGATGTGCATAATCTCGCTCAGAAGCTTCCAATCGTTAGCTTCGAGACGATATTCGTGAGGGAGGCTGTTTCCCCCGTGCGCTTCTTGAGCTAGGAAGCCGACAAGATCACGCTGCTTGCGCATGGCTCGCTCAATCATCAGGTAGGTTGAATTCCACCTCGTCTCATTGTTGTTGATGACTTCCAGGTCGGCAGTAGAGTCTTCGAAGTTGAATTCGGCCTCTAGCTGTGTCGCAACATCCTTTAATACCTCCGACCGTTGCGGCGATGACCGGATGTATTTGACGACGTTGTGAAGTTTTGCGACAGGGCTATTCTTCCGCCACTGCTGGAAGTCAGCTTCGGCATTGCCCACATCAACTTCATCAAAGGCATCGGCATCGAAGCCAGAGAGGAAGGCTTTGGCTATAAGGTTCAAGACGTCACCAAAACAGCGTATCCGGCGGGCCTTAACTTCATCTTCATCCATCAATAGGTCCAATTCTTCGAAGAGGGCCTCCAGGGTTGT